GTATCCTCCCGCTTAATCATCCACCTATGTTTTATTTGTTGGAGCCAAACACAATTTCTAACCTACAAAACTTCCACTAATTATTTAACCTGCTTCCTCTCCTCGTGCCGGAGGCAGATCGGCTGGCTTCACTGCTTCAGTTTCTACAGAACTGTTTACTCTGATCTACGATTCAATTACGCCAACCTGCTCCAATAATAGCCGGCGCCACGGCGTGCAAAACTTCATCATTTCTGCCTGCTTTTACACTTCATAACGCTGGATGATCACATGTTCAGGCTTTATGATGTTGTTATACTTTGGAAGATGCCAAAGAAAACGACTGAAAGTGGTGAACCTATATTAAAATCATTTCTGCATAGGACTGATTTTTGTTTTATTATCTTTGCAAAAAAAATTATTGAAATGTTTTTTGAATATTAAAACAGCAAAAGTTGCCCACAAAATTTTAGAAAAAACTTTTAGCTAGTTTCACATTTATTTTTCTTTATATGTTTTTTTTTATTTATTTGAAAAAGATATATATTTGATATCCTTTTAATATTTTTCTCAGATTTATACTTTCAAATGATTGTTTCTTTTTGAATTTCAGGATTTTAGGTAGAGTTTTAATTGTATTTGTCTGGAGGCGGGCTTTCCTCTGCTATGACGGGAAAAGACGCATTTCTATTGGTGTGTTGGATGCTAGCAAAAACATTTTTATTGGTCAAGAGAGAAAGTTTGTGTTGGGCTCAAAGTGAAGAGAATACCAAGTGTAAATTTTTCTTAGGCTAGGGTTAGGGTGCGTGTTGACAATTTATTAGCCGTTCAGCAGCCATGCCTTGAGATCATGTCTGTCTGCTTTCTATTTTTAAAGTCATTGCGAAACGGCCGTTCCAACCGTTGCATTTCTGAATTCTCCCAAGTGGTGCATGACTTTACACAAGTGAATAAAGTGAGTTTGATTGGGAAGTGCAGGTGTCACAGTGGTTAGAGTGCAGGACCCATGAATGGAGGTCTTAGTCATCTACGCAGCCGACCCGGGTTCGAATCAGACCTTTGGTCCTTTGCCGCATGGCTCTCTACCTCTCTCATACCTCCTTTCCTGTCAGGCTACTGTTAAAAAAACGAGCCACTAATGCCGTAAAAACTCAAAAAAAAAAGGGAATGTGATTGGTTGTTTATCAAGAGGGCGGGGTTGTTGTGGCGGAAGGTTCACAAGCAAGTTTGATTGTGGCCGGTTTGTCGGAAGTATCTTGCTAACCAGTTAGCAACTTAGTGCTAGTAGGTTCCTAAAAGAAAATTCCATTGGGACCAAGTAGCACTAAGTTGGTGACTTAGAAACGACGCTGTCAAGGAACGCTATGGACAGCGGAAACATGCAAGAGGAGGAGAGTTTAGTGTTGGAGGTCGTGGATGAGTCTCCTCCGTCCTCCATTTTTTATTTAGAAGAGGAAAGCGGGGACGAAGATGTTGTGGAAGAGGACACCAGGGTGGCAGAAGCTTGGTTTGGTGTAGAAGGCTTCCAGCCGTACATGTTTGAGCCCTTGCCTCGCAACGCTGCCAGTTCTGTTAGCTCTACGCCTGTTGAAGACACAGACGTCCATCCCCATGAACACTGGGACCGAACTCAATGGGAAAGGAATTATTCTTATTTCTTATTTTAACCGTTGCATATATTAGCTGCGACATATGAATCAAGATGCTCTGACCAAAAAAATTTGAGTGACAGATGACCGTTGATATATGATTGGCTGAATTTAGGTGTTCAGGCTGACGTATAACTAACTGTCCTGCATAAGATAATGAAAAAAAAAGATTTAGTAAGTAATTTCTTAAATTTTGGGACAATATTGCCTGATAAAGAGTACATTGATATACATGTTTAAGCCAGAATGATTTGACATTTAGGTATCACTTCTGAACGACTTTCAGTTTTAGTTTGATTGGGAATAAATGTTATCATTTGTTATGGTTGTGTCAGTTATGGTTATTTCTTAAACGGAGTAAGAAAATGCCAAATCAACTTTAAAAATAGGCCCATAAATCTGGCAAATCTCATGGGGGACCAGTTAGACTGGTGTCAAACTGGTGTCATAAGTGGCATTGGCATGAGCGCTGAAAAAAGGGGTATCAGTCATTTTCTAATCATTACATTTTCAAAATAAAACCCCCCCTCCCGGCAACTAATGGGACATCCGGACACATAAAGATATGATGAAATGAAAACAAAAAATGCCTAAAACTAACAAAGAAAAAAAAAACACACAAAAATAATCAGGACTTAGGGTGCTGGGCCTGTTCCCCTAGGGGGGATTGGCCCCCAGACCCGGGAGGAGATCCCCAGTGGACGATTATGTTTAGTGTCTGCCTCTGTGTGCATCTCCGTTGAGTCCTTATGCGTGTCCTTAATGGTGTAATTGTGAAAATGTGACTGGATCAATGTGAATTTGTCTTCTTATCAGACTGAGTTTTCCTCCCCTGCCTCACTGAACATCCTAGGCCCAAGTATGAGTAGGGTCTCCCTCCTCTCCCTTCTTATGCTCCCCACCAGTGACAGGTGCCTGTGTCTGCTGGCAAACTGATGGCTCTCTAAGTACGGGGTTGGATACACCACTGGATGCTGCCTCATTGCTAGTGGCTATCGAGGGTGGTGTGCCCCTGGGCTTTGGATCCCTTCGGAGGCGTGAACCATGGGCTAGTTGCACGGCCCTGTAGGACCCCAGCACTATTGCCTCCAGGATCGGGCCTCTTAGGGAGTGAGCCCCTTGGGTTTTGGCTCCTGGAGCAATCATCTACAGTAACTCTGGAACATCTATTTCAAGAACATAGTGGCAAATGAGGACACAGACAAAAATAAATAAATCCCAAGGGCCATGTGCTGGCATTTTATGGGTTAATTCATGGGGAGCATTTATTTCAAAAATCCACTTTACAGCAATGAATAAAACCCGACGGTGATGCTGATGCTGGTGTTTGCAGAGAGGATGGTTGAGAAATGACGGCGCGCATTAAAGCTCTCAGAGGAGTAGAGGAGCCTGAGTTTTAGGCTGTGAAGTGACACAGATCCGATGGTGCTAAGGAGAGCTTCCACTCCTTGTGGGTCCTCAGCCCTCACACAGCCGAGGGAAAATTACTCACGTGTCACTCAGACTAATACATGAGGTGTTTCGTGTTTCACACTCATCTTTAAGTGTTGCTTAGGACAGCACATTCCCCCGACTCTTCTTAACCGAGAGGGGATTTGTAACCGCAGCAATTAATATTTGAGTGTGAACTGTGTCAGCACAACACCAATGCTAAAGGTTGGAGGAGGTAAACAGCACATCTGCTGCCCCAAGCTATAACTGAGTAGCTATCAAGCAGGATCTAGCTAAGTATTTACCTTCAAACTTTTGTCTTTTGGTTGTCTGTTGTCTTCTTTCTGTAAACTTTGTTATACGAGGTTATATGAGTATTATAGTACCTTCAGAAGCAGCAGCCAGAGTTCTGATGAAACTTGAAAACAAAGATCATATCTCTCCTATCCTGGCTTCTCTTCATTGGCTTCCTGTTAAATCCAGAATAGAATTTAAAATCCCTTTTCTCACATATAAAGCCTTAAATGGCCAAGCTCCATCTTACATCAGATATATTATTGTTCCTTATGTTCCTAACAGAGCACTTCACTCTCAATCTGCAGGTTTACTAGTGGTTCCTAGAATTTCTAAAAGTAGAATGGGAGGCAGATCTTTTAGTTATCAGGCTCCTCTCCTGTGGAACCAACTACCAGTTTTAGTCCGTGAGGCAGACACCCTGTCTACTTTTAAGACTAGGCTTAAAACTTTCCTTTTTGATAAAGCTTATAGTTAGAGTGGCTCAGGTTATCCTGAGCTATCTCTATAGTTATGCTGCTATAGGCTTAGACTGCTGGAGGACATAGGGACCCCCATTTCATCATTCTGCTTCATTTTATCTCTATTCTCCCACTCTGCAGAATCTATTAGTTCAATCTCTAACGTTCTGCTCTCTCTGCTTTTTCTCATAGTAGCTTCATCTGGTCTGTTTCTGTTTGGCTGTGACTCCATCCTGGAGAGAAATATCAGCTGTGCTGCTGCCATCAACACCTTTGTTTATAGATGTTGGAGATCGGCCTGTTTTAGTGTAGGCCTGTTTCTCTGACTGTGACTCGCTGGATGTGCTCTCTTTGTCCTCTGACATGGGAGCTAGCTCGGAGCTCGTCTGCCTGGCTGTGTGTTTCTTGGACGGCGCTGCCTTTTACAGCTGCTTTTTGTATCTCTGCTTCTGTCTCCTTGAACCCCAGTCGGCCTCAGCATATGGCCGCTCACACTGAGCCTGGTTCTGCTGGAGGTTTCTTCCTGTTAAAACTGAGTTTTTCCTCTCCACTGTTGCTACAAGCATGCTTATTGTGAGGGATTGCATTCAAGTAAATGAGTCGATGCAATCAACTGGTTTTCCTTAGATAGAAAACTTTGAATCAATTTGACTGGATGATGTGGTTGAATAGTAAAGTGCCTTGCGTTATATAAATAAACTGAATTGCATTCAATAGTCTATTCTTATGTGATTCTTATACTTATAATACTTATATACTTATATATAATCTGCTGCAGGATTAAAAAGACATGGCCAGAAGTTATGCGAATTAAGAGTGAGAAAATCCATTACAAAACTCAGGGCTACGTAATGAATGAGTGAATATTTTAACTGGAAGATGCAAGAAAAACGATTGCATTTCTTCCTATGCAATCCAAACAAACTAATAGTTTCATCCTTATCTCCCTTCTATCTCCTTTTTTTCTGTTTTTCCTTTCCTGTTCTACATCCATTGCAGTGTCCATATAATCTGTAATAATCCCTGCATGAATTATAATAAAGGTATCTATATGCAGAAATCTTTGTCCAGCCCTAATCAATCCAAAAATGTGACAAAGCAGAAATCTAGAAAAAATGTCAGCAAGTGAGAGTCGCAATGAGCAACGGAGTGGATGTGTTTATGTCTAAAAGTAAGCATACGATACCCCACGCTCAGAGTTCTCCATGTGTGAATCTCTCTATTGGAGCAAGGGCAAGGCAGGTACGGGACGGGACGGGGAGGGTGGAGCCAAAGACAGGAAACAGGAAGATAGAGAGAAACATAAAAGGGAGTCAGACTCGAGTCAGAGAGGTTACTGCCAGAAAGACATCTATTTCATTACTTTAATTTCCTCATATTCATCATCTTTTTAGTGTAACAATTAAAATCTCCCACCAAAGGAAAAAAAAACAAACCTGACTAAGAGGCAGCGAGTTTGTTTCCTTGTTTGTTGTTTTCCTGCAAAGGGTTTTGTCTAAGCGAGAACTTTTACACACGACAGATTTAGTTTTTAATAAAAACGGGTTTGAGAAACTTTTATGTTTTCCTCAGATTTTCTTTTAAAAAAGTTTTTCTGTTTTATTTTTCCAAAAAATTACTTTTTTTTACCCTCCTTTTTTATTATATATCTTTTTACAAATGTTACATTCACAAAGTTATTTTTCTATTTCTCTTTTTTAGATGAGTGTTATAAATTGCATTTTTTACTATCAAAGAATCTGACACTTCACCAATGAAATGTCGGTAACGTAGAAATGCTTGTTTGCTCATCCAAAAAAGTAAAAAAAAATCCACTGGACTTTGTTTCCAAGTTTGAAGACATTTCGCTTCCCATCCAGGAAGCTTTTTCAATTCAAAATGTCAGAAGGGTTTATAGAGTGGAAAAAAAACAAAGCATTGCTTTTTCTTAGAAAATATTCAAATTAAAAAGAGAACTGTTGGCCTGGCTGAATAGGCGAGGCCTTCTGTTCCCCACATAGACAGTCAGGCCAACAGTTCACTTTAAAGACCCCCGTTTCAGAGACATGTAGAGGTATGGGGCATTGCAGGCTAACAAAAGAAGCCAAACAACCTTCATTCCAAAGGGAGGGACCCCTTCTTCCGTCTCAATTTGCATGTCTTCTAAACAAAAACAAGGCATTGTTGGGCTACTCTATAAATCCTTAAACTCAACACTATTCCTGACATTTGGAATTGAAAAAACTTCCTGGGAAGCGAAACATCTTCAAACTTAGAAACAAAGCCCAGTGGATTGTTTTTAACATTTTCGGAATTACATACTTCTATAATCCTCACTCAAGAGAAACAAGAAGTGGAAATAACAGGATATTTTTTTTCAATTATGAATTTTTTTTATTTCCATTTACAAAATGTTGTCTTTCCTTCTAACAATAATGGGCTGGAATATCCTTTTTTTTGGGGTTCATGAATAGATCAGACCTTCTGCTGTCCTCTCTCTGTATATATCACCACCAAAGGGTCAACGTTTAATGGCATTTTGTCCAAAACGCTGTCATGTGACGGTTAAAGATTAAGGGATTTATCTGGGTGACAGGTTTCAGAGTTGAGCTATTACAGCTGGATATCCCAGAGCTGCAAGAACAATTTATAAAACAGGTCCAAATAAACAGCTACAGAAAAAAAAGATGCTGTAGGGAAAACTGTGTTTGATCCCAGAGCTTCCAAGTGAGGAGAAAAAGTCGACATGAAGGCCGAGACGTCTCTTGCCTCTTTTATTTTTGACTTTTAACACGAGCTAGTGGAGCTCTTCTGTCTCCCTCTTCATTGATCGCTGTTAGTTGGGTTACACAATTAACACTATTTTCAATATCTAGTATTTCTTTGACATCCTGACTTTATCCTCTTTGCTGGATTCACTTAAATTGCTTCAAGGGCTTTTCATATTTACTGCAGGTAGCTAAGCATCATAGATCTGACTTTCTCATTGTTTCCTTATTTGTGCATGGCGTTAAAGTTTAAAAAGAAACAGAACTAGTATGAGATTAGAACAGATAGGATGGGGAGATGTGATCTAGAATGGGCAGAAAATAAATGCAGCAAAGCAGCAGCTCATGTATCCATGAACGGGTTTGGATATGAATGTTTATTAAGAAGTGCTTTTATTTAAAATACAGATACCTAAACTATTCTCCACATGAATTGCGAATGTTTTATGCATGCAGATTCAATACTACCGGACTCCAATATGTCTAACATATGAGCTCATTCTCTGCGCTCCGGTTCTACGTTCCAGGAAGTTATATATGTATCATTGCTTGTCTCCTTGAACCCCAGTCAGCCTCAGCAAATGGCCGCTCACTCTGAGTCTGGTTCTCCTTGAGGATTCTTCGTGTTAAAAGAGGGTTTTTCCTCTCCACTGTCGCTCCATGCATGATTAGTGAGAGGGATTGCCTTCGAGTCAATGAGTTGATGCAATCAGCTAGTTTTCCTTAAATGTTTTTGCCCTTCTCGGGACGATTCTTCTGTCATGCGATAATTTTTGTCGATCGGGCCGGGCGGCGATCAGCCTCTCAAGGTCACCACCTGAACAGGAATCGTAAGGTCGGGAGAAAATCATACAGGTTGGGAATTTAGTCGGCCGTTGTGGGCAAATCCTGCTGTTGAAGCAGAGCTACGAGCCGATTTATCAGAACCTCGAGCACAGCGCATGTGCAAACAAGGGAGTTCTTCTTCTTCTTCCAGATTGACGCGTTCGAACAGCGCCATCTCTCGCGCTGAGTCGGGTGTTTTTTGGTCGTACAGTGTGAGCAGGCAGATCGGATCAGAGCGTTGGGTCGCACAGTGTGAGAGCATACATCATGAGATCTGAACTTTTAAACCCTGAGGTTTCGTCGTACAGTTTGAGCTATAGCTGCGTGTAACGATTGAAAATATCGCACAGTGAATGCTCCGCTCTAGATAGAAAACTTTGAATCAATGTGACTGTAGGATCTGCTTGAATGATAACGTGCCTTCAAATGAAATGTGATGTGAATTGTCGCTATAGAAATAAACTGAATTGAAGTCCCGCCTCCTGCCCATATCTTGCCTGAAAGACTTTGTGTTACAGAAAATGTAGGGTACTTTCCACCTCCTCTATCGTCACCTTCCTTTGCAGACATCTTTACAGATTCAGTGCAAGAAAGGGTCCCCAAATCATTGTTCCTCATCACATAAACCTGCTCCCCGAGGTTATCCAGATTATCTGGGTAACATGGGAAAATCTGGGGAAAAAAACATCTGGCTAATCTGGGAAGATATGGAGATGGGAATTTAAAATTCCTCATCTAGAAATATGTCAAAACATGCAGAGGTCAAGAGCCATAGTCAGATTACTAACACAAGGTCAAACTAAACTGCACTGATTTATAGCCTTTCCTTATTCTTTAACAATAAGTAAAAAATAAATCCAAAAGCCCTTCAGCTTTTAAAGAGCACATAGCAAGTTATAGCTTTGAAAAACTAACCGTTCTTTAATGGATCATATTTGAAAAGGTTATTTAGGATTTAAGGCTTTTTACTGATGTTAAATAGTTACGGTTAAAATCTAAAGTCTTATTAACTTGTTCACTGTTGACTAATAAATATGCAAATAGATGCAAATAGATTTTTAATTATAGAAAAAACCTTTAAATTATACCCATCCACCCTGAATATGTTTTCCTAAATACTTAAAGGTGTTGCACATGTGATGAAATAGCAGAGCTCCTCCTAGGTCTTCATGTGTAGCTTTAGTCATTCCAAAAAATTAAAAAAACCATCAACTTGACTTTGTTTCCCAGTTTGAAGGCGTTTTGCTTCCCATCCAGGAAGCTTTTTCAATTCAGTTCCAGGCTTTATAGAATGGACCAAAAAAAAGCCTTATTTTTGTTTAAAAAACGTGCAAATTGAACCGAACGAATGGATCCAACCCTTTGGAAGGGGGGTCTTTTGGCTTCTTTTGTTAGCCTCTGATACCTGTCTAAGGCTACGTTCACACTGCAGGCCTTAATGCTCAATTCCGATTTTTTTGTGAAATCGGATTTTTTTTGCGTGTCCGTTCACACTTCCAAGTATATGCGACTTGTATGTGATCTACTGTGTGAACTGAAAGCGTTCAACCGAAGTGTCCCGCATGCGCACTCGAGGACGCGATGACGTCACATGTAGCAAGCGTCCTCAGTGTTTGCGGAAGTAAACATGACTCGTAATACCGCAGCGTATAATGCGTTCTTTAAGTTCTTCTCCAACAGGAGCAGGCACATTACGAACGAAATCTTTTTAAGAAGATCAAAAAGAAAGAGAGCCAGGTTCCGGTAAGACCCTTCGAGTTTGATCTGAATCGAGCTATCTTTCCAAATATGAATTAAGTCAGCAACCTCACTTTCTCTCCATTGACTGCTCTCTGTGTTATCTTCCACCATGGTTGTTAGTTTTTCCCGCCTCCGCTTAGTAGGACGCAGATTAGTAACGTTTAGTAACATTTGTCAAGTATCAATGACGTGTAGGTCGGATGAATGCGACCTGGCCGTACAGACACAGGTCGCATTTGAAAAGATCAGATACGTATCGGATTCAGGACCACGTATCCAAGTGGCCTGGGTCGCATTTGAAAAAATCCGATCTGTGTCGTTCAGACTGTCATAAAAAGATCTGATACAGGTCACATATGGGCAAAAAAATCGGAATTGGGTCACTTCAGGCTGCAGTGTGAACGTAGCCAGAGTCTCTGAAAGGGGTTTGTTAAAGGGAATTTTGGCCTGAAAAGGCAAAGCCTTCAGGGTTGCGATGATAGCAGGAAGGAACTAACTTAATTGCTTCATTGTAGGTTTTTGAAAGCTGAAATCTGAGACCATCACCTCTGTTAAATGTTGGTTTTTCTAACTTAACATAGTTGACTTCCTTCACACCCATCGGTTCGGTTGTATCTAGCTCTGTTCAGTTCAGTTCAATTTGCTTTCCATTTACACACGATAAGTTATCTCAGTTACTGAGCTCGGACCGGTCTCAGCACAGTTTGTCAAGGGTAGTGTAAATGGGGTATATGTTAGCCTGCAGTGCCCTGTACCTGTCTATGTCTCTGAAAGGGGGGTAATTAAAGGGATTTGCTGGCCTGTCTGAACAGGCGAGGTCCTCCGCTCTCCTGTACAGGAGTTGGGGTCGCAATGACAGCGGAAAGCTGGAATCTGAGGCCAGCCCATCTGTTTAAGGTTAAAAAAA